GAGCCTCACACATTCTAGCCAAGAACTCTACCACCAAACTACACTCCTAGCCTATCAACTGTTATTTAATCCTCATAATTCTTTCTGCTCTCAGTTCCATCTTACAAGTTAAATAACTTGCTCAGCTTCACATAGTCATTACATGTTAGGGCCAGAATTTGAATCTAGGCAGTTTGGTTCAAGAGTCCATGCTCTTAATACTACATTACCTTCTACCATAGCATCTATAATATCTTCCTGATGAGTTCCAAGAACCTATAATGAAACTTCTGATGCTTACATGCAAGGAAATAAAAAGTTATCATGGGCCTTCAGTGTCATTAAGGAAACCAATGTAGGGTCCTGATGTCTAATTCCTACCAAAACTCACTTTCAGCTTCCACTCTAAGCAGCAACTCAGATTTGTCTGATTCTCTCAATTGCTATTATGAATCCTTGCCTCACCTGAAAGACATTACTTTTGTGGCCACTCTCGAAGTCCAGTACTGGCTGCCGCCGTACCCAATCCCACACTACCACCTTCAGGTCATCGCTGCCACTGGCCAGCCAGGTGCCGCGCTGGTTAAAGTGCAGGGTATTGACACAACCAGTATGGCCCTCAAGCCCATGCTGCAGGCGGAACCTCTGTACAAAGACTCTTGCCCCACAGGCTTCATACACAAAGCGGGCACTTGAACCCAGCTCCCGTTCCCGAAGGGCAGGGAGGGCCTGCCATCGAGGTCGGGGCAGGGCTGTTGTCTCTGAGGATACCCAGTCCTCCAAGGCCCGCTCATCGTCTGATGAGTCCTGGTCACGGTTAGCTCGCTTGCGTTGTACACGGCGCCGAGGTTGTTCTTCTTCCTCTTCTTCTTCCTCTTCCTCTTCCTCTGAGCGGTCATGAACTCGGTTTTCATCATTGATGGAGTAATGGCCAGTGTCCTCCATGCTGTCAGAGTCCTTTTCTTCACCTGAGCTTTCTGTGTCTGTGCCCCGACTTTCTGTACTGGTGCGATTGGGGCCACCATCATCCCCAGTCAAGCTTAAACTCAGGTCTGAGGCCTCTACTTCAATGCCTGAGGATGTCTCTCTTCCCTCTTCAGCTCCAGACATCTCCTCTGGACTGCTAGACAGGCTTCCTGCACATTGATGAAGAATCAATAGGTGAGAGGCAAAAATAAGGAAACAGGATTAGCATAGTTATCAGAGGGATTTCCCACTGTAAGAAACCATTACATCAAAAGACTAAGAAACAAACTTCAGTTGAAGTGTTTCCATTATAAATGCTTATAAAGAGTACTTCTGAGAGGAAATCTTATTAAGAACAGAAATTGAAAAAATTAAGATCAAAGCAACACACACATACCACATACGTGAACTTCAATAAAAGCAAAGAACTACAGGACAATCTATAATAAGTTCTTGAGAGGCTAAGCTTTGGCATATTATACAAAAGTGTGCCTGATGCAACCACTTAGGCACTGTCCTGTTGGACAGACATCCATTAGTTGCAGCAAATAATTAGACTGTCTATAAGAAAATCTCCAGCTGGGTACAGTGGCACACACCTGTAATCCCAGGGACTTAGGAGACGGAGGCAGAAGAATTCCAAATTGGAGGCTTGTCTGGGTAACACTAGTAAGACATGTCTTAAAATAAAACAATAAAAAAGGGCTGGGGATGTAGCTCAGTGGCAGAGTGTTTGCTTAACATGCATGAGGCCCTGGTTTAATTCCCAGTATCCCTGAAACAAAAAAAAGTTGTTGAGAGGGTTGGGAGTATGGGTCAGCAGTAGAGCACTTGCCTAGCCACGTGCAAGGCCCTGGGTTTGATCATCAGCACCACATAAAAATAAATAAAATAAAGGTATTGTGTCCAACTACAACTAAAAAAGAAATATTTCCTCAGATGACTACAAATTTTATCTTGCCAGACCTAAAACTTGTTAGGGGAAGACAGATCAGCTGTTGACTCCAATATGATGTGTAATATTCCAATAATGATGTTTAGGGATTTAAAACTGGAGCACCTTACTGACTAGCCATCTGGCTTAGGGCAGTAATTTGTGAAGATCCTTGAAGAAATGGAACTTCTAGACAAAATCCAGTACATAAAACACATAACAATACAAGTGCTTTGTTTTGATGGAAGGATGGGTGACATAGAAGCACCTCAACTGAGAGCACAGTGTGAAAACCAACTGGGATAGGAGTTGGAGCGAAAAGGGAAAAATAACAGAACCACATTTGCTGAGACTGTTACATATGCTCCAGCAACTCAGCAAGGCCCTAAACAACTGAGCAAGACCCTGTCTCAAAATAAAAAAAATTAAAAGGGCTGGGCATGTGCCTCAGTGGTAAAGAACCCCTGGGTTTAATTCCTACTACCCTCCAATCCTTCAAAAGTGAGAGAGATATAGTTTGAAATGCAATTGGAGCTTGAGCTGGGAAGGGCTAAGAAGGGATTAAAACCACCACACCTAACAAGTATGTGGGGAGAGGAAAAATAAAACACCAAAACTCTTAGAAATTTTTAATATTAACAAATTCAGACTCTGAAAGTCCTATCACATTAATATAAGCGCCAGAATGTATTACACACTCAGCAACAAGGCCACAACTGTCAATGATCATGATCTAGTTCAGGAGTTGGCAAATTTCTTCTGTAAAGGGCCAGACAGCAAAAATGTTAGTATCTGCAGATCGTATGGTACTCTTGCAGCTATTCAACCCCATTAGAACAAAAACAATCCATGGACACCACATAAATGAATGGATATAAAACTTTTACAAAAATAAGTGGAGTGGCAGGCTGGCTTTGGCTTGTAGGTTATAATTTGCCAATCCCTGATCTAAACTAATGACCAAGCTCCAAATCAATAGTTTAACTTAAATCCCTCTGGAACTCTGTGCCTTTCAACTAATCCTAGTGAAAAAGGAGGGGAGGGAAAAAAAGGAAGGCAGGACCAATCCTAGTTGGTTAGGGTTGTAACTTCATTTTTTTATTTTGGCACCTGGGACTGAACTCAGGGCTTTACACATGCTAAGCATGCACTTTATCACTGAGCTATATCCCCAGCTTGGTAACTTCATCTCTTATCCAATACCTCTAATGAAGAAACTCTTATTTACCATGGAAAGAGATCTCTCAATATAACTGAAGAACCTCATCTTCCCCCAAATCCCCCTGTTCCCATCACCAATTAGGTCTTGTTTTTCTCTTTCATTAATAGCATTTCCTAGGTTCAGCCTACCTGTACAGCCTTTCAGAATTCTAAACCTCTTGACATGTTATTGATTTTCTGAAAACAAAAATCTGAAGGGAAAAAAGTACCAGATAATATGTTTCCCTATATTGAAAACAACCCAAGAAGGGTTTCTTCCCCCACAAAAATCCTCCCATGTCTTGCAGGGAGGAGGACCTCAGTTCATAGTAAAAATAGCTTCACCTTCATTTTGGCCCCTTACCATTAGCTAAGTCTGTTTTGCCATCTGTGCTGCTTCCTTTGCTGGACATCTTGAATGATGTTTGCTATAGCCAGCCTGGATTTGGGAGAGGAAGAAAATGAAATAATTAGAAAACAATTAACCTCAGAAAGACTACAAAAGGGGCAAAGAGATTTAACAATGTATAGGCTTTGTCAGTTTTATAAAAATGATTTTTGTTATGTGTGCTTAACAGGGCTTCTCAGCTACAGAAAAGCATGTCAGGACTTTTTCCCCTCCAAGAAGGAACATATTTGGGGAAGTCACCTGCCATCTCTTTAACCTTATTCACTGAATAACTGGCAGGTTTTTTTCGGATGGACAAGAAGGAACCTGAAACAGCAGGCACAAATCAAATGACAGGGTACTGCAGGCAAAGAGCCTCAACTCAACACAGAAAGCTAGCTTCAGCACTTTCCTGTAGACAAGGGTATTCTGTTTTAAGCAATATTCATATGTATCCATAAACTCTGTAAAACTCTTATTTTCATAACATGAAAAGGTGAGTCAGATTCTGAATATCATTTTATACAGAAATAAACAGTAGAAATCAAGCTCTTGTTAATTACTGAACTTGGGCTTTATGTTCACTCAGACTTCTAGTTTCAAGCTTAGTACAAACATAGATACTTAGGAATATAAGAAGCACAGCTTCTTATAATTGAACTCAAGAGCACTTAAGACTCCTAAGAAAAATCTCTTAAAATTTTCCCCCTTTTAGGACTAACAGTCACCACGTACAAAGGTGGGAAAGAAAAGGGCATTTCCATTAAACCACCTCAGTTCATTTTAAACAATGGCAAACTTTCACCTAATACCAACAACTTTCATCAGACTTGTCATTCTGGCAAAATTCTAACTAGGAACCAGGCTATCTAGCTTATTTCCTTTGTGCCACTATAGCACGATCATTCCCACCCGAACCCCAGAGCCTTACTGCCACCTCTAGCAAATTTCAAAGAGTAAAGAATAATGTTATTCAGACTAGAATTTTGTTAAGCCCTTTCAGGGCCTTGGACAAAAGGCACTGGTAAAAGACAAAGTATGATTATGACCCCAGTCTTTGGGCCCAGGCACACTGGCCTCTAATCTTTCAACAGCCCTTTCATTCCCATAACAATTATCTTTTTTTTTTTTTTGATACAAAGAATTGAACCCAGGGGTACTTGACCACTGTGCCACAACTCCAGCTGTATTTTATATTTTATTTAGAGACAGGGTCTCATGGAGTTGCTTAGTGCCTTGAAGCTGATGAGATTGGCTTTGAACTCACGATTCTCCTGTCTCAGCCTTCCAAGCTGCTGGGATTACAGGGTGCGCCTCTGTGCCCGGCTCCCATCCTTATCTTTATCCCCTACAGAAACCCATGCTGCTTCATAAAAAGTATCCTCTGCCAAGAGACAGCTGCACAAAGACTGCTCACTGTAGGACAGGGTTGGGGAGTAGAAATACTGCAAGAACAGGGCTGAAGTTAAATATAAGGAAGAGACACCTGGATTGGAGATGGTAAAAGACAATACCAACTAAAAGAACATGTGAAGCCACATAAAGAATACAGTGAAGAGCCATTTGTAAGCAGGCTGTTTTCCTCCTCTAACTTTGAAGTGTATATTTCTGTACAGCATTCCTAACACAGCACTTGCTTTTCCTTCTCAATAGTCTGTTTATATTCTTTAGCATCTTAGCAGTATCTTCTCCCCCATAATTGTGTAAAACTGATTATATTAATTGCAAAAGTCCTATGACATGGGGAAAATAATTATACTACTTTACGAAGATTAAAAACTAAAGGTATGAGCAATACAGTCTCGTGGTCAACTGGGAATGGATATGATATTTTTCTACCTCGGAATTAAAACTGCTTACCGTATCTTACTTCTCACCCTACTATTATCCACTCCCAGATAAGAATCTAGAAAGACAGCTCCAGAGAATCTTTCTCAAAACTAACCAACTTCTACAATAGTCCAAACTGCCTGAACTTTAGTCATATCTGCTCTAAAACACATATTTGCTTTTCCAACTCCATGGTCAGGAACTGGCAGAGACTATATTCATATCCAGCTCTGAGATGTGGGAAAGAGGGAGCCAGGAAGTTATGGAGTAGTTTTGGGGGGACCTGGCTTAAGGTTCTTTCAAGAACAAATCTTCTCTTAGAGGAAAATAGCTGTTAGAATTTATTGCTAAATTCAAAAAGCAAAAACCCTGTGAATACTTAGGTCAAGCTGGGTGCAGTGGCGCATGCCTGTAATCCCAGCAGCTAGGGAGGCTGACTCAAGGATAGCTTTCAAAGGCAGCCTCAGCAACTTAGCGAGGCACTAAGTAACTCAGTGAGACCCTGTCTGTAAATAAAATGCAAAATAGGGCTGGGGATGTGGCTCAGTGGTTGAGTGCCCGAGTTCAATTCTCAGTATCCAAGAGAAAAAAAAACAAACTTAGGTCAACCCTGTTTAATCACTGAGTTAACAGACAGAAGCCACAAAGTTTAGTAAAATCATTCCTAGACTAAAAAAACCAGAAGTCCAGGATTTCAGTATGTGAGCCAAGCCATTTAGCATACTTCATTCCCTCACATAAGCTATTGAACCTTCTTTGAACTTTATTTTCTCTAGCTCTTAAAAAAAAAAAAAAAAGGACTGGAAATGTGGCTCAGTGGTTAAGCGTTCCTGGGTTCAATCCCTGGGGGGGGGGATGGTGTCCAAAATCTAAAATTTTTTGAGCTCTGACATTACAATCAAAAAGTTTCAGATTTCAGAGCACTTCAGATTTTCATCCTATTAGAGATGCTCAACCATTAAAGTCTACACAAATATTCCAAAATTTGAAAAACTCTGAAATGTGAAACACTTCTGGTCTCAAGCATTTCATATAAGGGACACTCTACCTATAGTAATTCCAGAGATGGTATAGATGAGTCGAATTTTATTTTATAACTTCTGCAAAAGGGTACTCTGGAGCAGTGGTCTCCAAACTTCATGAATCTCTCTCAGTGAAAAATTTGAGCATAAACGCCCAATATGTGTTGATATACTGTCAATTCTCACTAAATATTCAGATAACTTTTCTAGGATAAATACCTAACAGATATTTCAACATCCTTTTTCTGTATATCACTGGGTCATTTTTCATCTCTTAAGTGCATTAATTCCAATTTCATGGGACCACTTCTCTAGAAAGTCAAGATATGACGACAATAATAAAACACAACCACTTTTGGAATGAGTTGTTATTCTTAGAATATGAATTTTAATCAAAAGCCGCATGTGATGGCACATGCCTGTAATTCTACAGGCTGGGGAGGTTGAGAAAGGAGGACTGTGATTTCAAGGCCAGCCTCAGCAATTTAGAGACCCTGTAATCTATCAAAATGAAAAAACAAACCAGTTCAACTCTAGAGCAGAAAGTAGAGTAACTACAATTGAATTCTATCTATCCTCCCACATTCATATGTGGAAGGAATAACTCCCAACATGGCAGTATTTAGATATATGGAATATAATTAGGTTTAGATGAAGTCACAGCTGAGGCCCACACAACAAGATGTCTTTATAAAAGAGACACCAGAGAGTTCTGTCTCCCCACTGCCATGTTAGGACACAGAGATAAGGTTTACATGTACAAGAGAGGAAGAAAGCCTTCAGCAGATACCAATCATGTTGGCACTTCAATCTTTTGATTTTGAGCCTTGAGAACTGAAAAAATTAATTTATGTTGTTTAAGGCACCAGTCTAAAGTATTTTGTTATGAGCTATTTAAAATGCTATCAAAATTAAAGCAGGTAGAGATACTGTGTCTGTGCCCTAGACTCAAGTATAGGAGTCACTCTTGAATTTTTTGCACTCACCAACAAATACAAACTTATAATCTGAAGTTTGGGACATTTGACCCAAACTCACACACTACCTTCACGCCCCCCTCCCCCAGTACTGGGGATTGAACTCAGGAGTACGCTACCACTGAATCCTTTTTTATTTTGAGACAAGGTTTCACTAAAATGCCCAGATTTTCCTTGAAATTGCAGTTCTCCCATCTCAGCCCCGCCCCCAGTGGGGTTACAGGTGTGCATCGCCGGTCTGACTCTTCTTCATTCTTCAATGCATTACATACCCCACCCCCAAAATCCACTGTTTCTAGTTTCATCAATATCCACGAACGTCCAGTCCAGAGCAAACCATGCTGGGCTTAGAAAAGCTGATGAGTTCACTGCCCCAGGTAGCTGGAGGAGTTTAATTAGATTAGCTCTCCTGCCTGT